CAATAAATGTTTTAAAGATTGCCATTAAGTACAAATACTTTAACGATTTCACAAAACCAAGGGAATCCAACCTTAAAATTCTGCCTTCCTTGTCCTCACTCCCACCCCCAAGTCAGGATCAAAGTTCAAATTTTCACACAATTGCCTCGTACCTGGTACATAGTAGACACTCAAAAATATTTATTGAAAAGGAATTGTATATGCCTTATGAGTTGGTACTTCACAGGATTTTTAGAGTTGGCTTGACTTGGATTAGATTCAGGAATAGTGTAGTAATCCTTCAGGGGAATATTTATAGGCAAACAGCTACAAGGATATACTACATTTTCCTTTGTTAAAACTTGTATCTGCATTCAAATATAGGCCTTGGTGTTTCCTAAGGGCTGGCTGCTTCAAATGTTACTATATCAAACCATCTGCACTGGGAAGCAAAATTCTGTTAAGAAATAGGATCACTGGGCCAGTCGCAGTGATTCACACCTGTAATCCCAGCACTTTGTGAGGCCAAGGCTGGTGAATCACAAGGTCAGGAGTTTGAGACCAGCCTGGCCAACATGGTGAAACCCCATCTCTACTAAAAATACAAAAATTAGCTGGGCATGGTGGTGGGTGCCTGTAGTCCCCGCTACTTGGGAGGCTGAGGCAGAATTGCTTGAACCTGGGAGGTGGAGGTTGCAGTGAGCCAAGATTGTGCCACTGCACTCCAGCCTGGGCGACAGAGTGAGATTCTGTCTCAAAAAAACAAATAAATAAATAAAAGAAAGGAAGAAGAAAGAAAGAGAGAGAGAGAGAAAGAAGAAAGAACTATGATCACTGGTAGTAAAGAGATGACTACATTTCTGACCACTATTCATTTTATATTTTGAGCATCCCCATAAGAAAAGATCATTTGAAAATGGCAACTCTTTGTCAAAGTGGAGATGATGGATACTTTTGTGCAATTTATGACTATGGTCAATATGAAAATTCATTTTTGTTTGTATGTGTTTTCAGTGGCTTCCATGCACTGACTTGCTAAAATGAAAGCTTAAAAAAAAACACAGAAAAACTTGAAAATAGATGATGACAAGAAGCTTCTAGATAGACAGGGTTTGGGGGAGGCAAAGCACCTTCTACTGTTCACTGCCCCAAACTAGAAAATCCCAGAGGGAAGCAAATGGTCCGGTGGAGATGGTTCTTTGGCTGGCTGAGGACAGAAGTTCAAGTGAAAGTCCTAGAGAGAAAGTACAAAAGTGAACAATCATAAGGGAAGTTGACTTGGGATAAGAAGACTAGAAAGTGCCAGTGTCATTAAGATTTTTAGCTGGGGGAGAAGAGAGACTCTTTTATACTTCCTAGAAAAAGGCAAAGGGACTTGATTCTATCTTAAGGTGACAAATCAGGACTTCAATGCTGGATGCACCTAAAGGTGGAGAGCTAGGCAATTTGGGGCAGCAGGAAGCAGGGTGGGAGCTAGTGTGCACCAAGTGAATGAAGGGAACATATGAGTCAGTTCCAGCTGTCCTCAGACCATCCTGCCCAACATCAGGGTAATCCAGGGGCACAGAGACTCTGAGCCCTGGCCCACCCCATGGTCTCTCAGATTGTGACACTCCCTCATCCCTAGTGCCACTCACTCTGACTTAACACAGAGAGGGTAGGCGAGGTGTAGGTAATGTGTGCCAAGACGTGTGTGGATGTTTGTGCAGTAGACACACAGAATCTCTAAAATGTGATGAAAATAAGAGAATGACATTGGCATGGACAAGGCAGGCAGGCAAGTGCTCCAAATGGTTAGAAACTGTAAAATAAGGTGTGACATTTCCTGAAATAGTAGTCAGATCTAGTTTTAGATAAAAATACTAATTAACAACAAACATCGGCCCACACTTTCTCTCCATTGCTCCCCCCACCATCTTATGCCGATTCCTTGCGGGGAGGGGTCGAGCCTTGTTCCTCTAGGTATCCTCATCACGTTTCCAAGTACTTGGAGGTGCCTTTAGAAAGTCTGATGAATGAGAAGTAAGTGACTGAATGAATTAATGAATAAGCTGCCTAAAGCAGATGCGTTTATGCGTGCACTCTCTCTAGTGGAGGAAGAGGGAAGAGATAGGGATGGAGCAGTAGAGAGAGCATGCACGGGAAAGATAAATGGCACCCGCCCGTGATGGACCCCAATGTCTATTCGATCTAGGTCAGTGGTTCTCAAACTTTGTCATGCATCAGAAACACCCGGAGGGCTTGCTCAAACACAGATTGCCCGGCCCCACTCCTAGTTTCTGACTTAGGTGAGGCTAGAGAGTTTGCATTTCTAACAAGTTCCAGATGATGCGGCTGCTGTTGGACCACACTTTGAGAACCGCTGCTCTAGAGGATAACTCGGACCTATCCCAGCGTTCCAGGGAAACGAAATCTGCAGCGGGAATAGGAACGTCCAAGGCCGGCCTTTTAAAAAGAAGTCCGAAGATGGGAGGGTACAGCTCCTCAGCTCCAACCAACTCGCTGCCGCGTAGGAACGTAGGTCATCGGAAATCAAGATTTCCTTTGAATTTTCCCGATGTTTAAGCGTTGGCAAGTGCGTTGAAAAACACACACAACATGAAAGCCTAATAAAAATAGAGATTTGCAGACCATGCCCTAGTCTTTTCCGAGGATGTTCTTTTTTGTTATCCGTCTTCTAACCAGGTTGAGCACGACAGCCGGGCTAGTCTAGCCCTGAACAGTTGGAGCCTTCACAGAGGGGCCCAGTGCGCAGAGCCCCCCTCCCCGGAGGCGCCTGGGGCCTGCCCTCCACTGCGCTGTCGTCTGTAAACCTGGTCTTCCTTGTCACAGACACTGACGCGCTCCGTTCGAAAAGTACCATGAATTCGAAGCAGCCTTGGACGCGGGATCATGGGTGTGGGCCGGGCTCTCTCAGACGAGGCAAACTACAGGAGATCCCCTTCCCTGGAGTCACTGGAAGGTGAAAGCACGCCGTGTGGCCGCGCGTGCGAGGAGCCCGCGACGACTCCCGCCCCCCGGCGTGCGGTGCGGGCCTGGAGACCTCGGAGCCCCAGCCGTATCCAGCACGAGCGGCAGCCGGTCTGCCCCTCCGCCGCCTCCTGTTCCGGGACCATCCTCAAGCTCCAGGGTTGCGGAGGCATAGTGCGACCAGCGAGGGGCTGACGGGTGGCTTGGGTGGCCTTGGCTCTGGGCTCAGCCGCTGCGGCAGCCGAGGGCCTCACCTGTGAAATCCAAATCCCGGCTGGACCGCGGCTCAAGGAACTGTCCGCCCCCAGGCTAGCCCACCCCGGCCACGGCCACGCAACTTGCCCTGCGACCCAGTGCTCGGCCTCCCCACAGAGCTCCCCTTCCCGGTGACTCAGTGCCTCGCAGGCTGGTGGCTGGAAGGGCACCCGCCGGGGCCTCCTGCGGAATGAAGCAGAGCGAGGGGCGCAGGCCAGGAGAGCGCCCTTGGGCCCCAAACGCCTTTCTCACCCTCTCCACGAGGTAAGAGTCGACAGGCAAGGCCTGGCCACGGGTGCCTGCGGCTGGCTGGCCTGGCCTGACTCGGGGTGGCGGGACGCCTGGATCAAGGAACGACCCTCAGCTCTCGAAGACGCGGGAAGGCCCCCGCGTGATCCGTGGGAGTGGGGCAGCCTGTCCACACGCGGTCCCCTGGGAAACCCCTCTGCATCTCCCTTGGGGACAAGGTCCCCGGCCTTGGAATCTGCGCCGCCCTGCACTGGGCCGCCTGCTAACTCCCTGTGCTGAGGTCAGAACGGGTGTCTTTCACCTCCTCTGGGGGTGTCAGGGCAGCCCGTAGTGGAGTCGTGGGTCTGAAAAATTCGTATCAGGACCCCACCAGGAGAAAAGTCTCTGGAGGCGGGGTGCACCGTGTGGGGCTCCCACAATGGCCCCGACGGTGGGGCTGGAGTGGCTTATTGGCCCTGATAATAGGCCCAGGCCCTCTTCCCAGGACCCCTGCCGCGCACGCGACTCTGGCTCTGCAGCAAAGGGGCTCGGGCGAACCCGAGTGGCCCCGGGGTGGCCGCCACCTCAGCCCGCGCCACGCAGAGTTCGGAGCGTGCCTCCAGGGGGCGCTGCGGCCCTTCCCGCCGGCTGCTCACTACAGCCCGCGGCTGCGCTTTCCCAACTCCGTCAGCCCTGCCGAGAGCGCCCGCGCTGACGCGCTGTTTTAAAAGATACAACTCAGTCTTTTGCCCCTGCCTCCGCACCCTCAACTCGGCCCAGAACACGCAATTATCCTCTGGGCTCCCCGGGCGTCCTTGCTATTCTGGGGCCAGGGTGCAGGCACCCTGAGCAGAGCTGAGCTCCCAATTCCTCCAGGTTGTGGCGAAAAACGGCAAACAGTGCGGGAAGTTCAAATGTGAAAGGTCCCAGCCCCGCACAGGCTGAGGAGAAGGGAGGCGAGTCCCAAGAAGGAATGGCTGGGATTCCTGGAAAAATATAAGGTTTCCATAATGTGTTCTTTAAAGATTAAAAATTTCTAGGATCCGAAAACGAGTGGGAGAGGCTGAGAGTCAACTCCAGGGAAGTCTGTGTCTGACACCTGCTCGCTGCTTAGCTGGCAGAGCCTCCTGGGTGGGCCGGGGGCGGGGGGCAGGGGGGCAGGGGGCCGGGGCCTGCGCCGCGCGCCCGCTCCTCCTCCACCTCCTCCGCGTTTCCTCTCGCTGGCCTTCATCCCGGCCTCCCCGGGCGTAAACTTGCAGCGGTCGGGGTTCAGGCAGCCACTGCTCGCGCGCCCCTCGTCGTTTAGCCGTTTCCCTGGAAGCGTCCTTGGTGTCGAAAGCCCAGAGCCTCGAGGACAGCAGATGACCGGGTCAGCGGAAATTTCAGAGCGAGCCAGCAGCTCAGGTCCCCGGCGCCGCGGCGGGAGTGGAACGGCTCCGTGGAGACACAGCCCCCGGGGCGCAGCTGGGCCACTGCAGGCTCCGGGACTTGCCTGTTCACACATCCGAACCCCACTACTCGCCCGTGGGCCCGGTGGCCTATCTTCTGCGCCGGGGACTGCTGGGGGCGGGCGGGGAACCTGGCGGGTGTCCTGCTCTTGGGTGGGCCCCGCAGTGCCTGCGCCCTAGGCGCCGGCCGGGACGAGGGGCTGGCTGGGTCTGAGCCCGGAGAAACGCAAGGGCCTGCCCGGGGTGGGCGCGGAGGTGGCCTAGGAGGGCCTGCGGAGCGTGCTGAGCCGCTCTAAGCCTCCCGGCCGCTTGCCACGCCCGGCGCGCACCTGCCCTTCGAGGCGGCAGAGCCAGCAGGCGGCCGAGGCACGGCCGGGCCACGCGGCATCCCCTAAAGCTGGAGCTCACCGTCTCTTCCTTACCTTTTAAGCGACCGCAGTCGTGCCCAGACAGCCGGCTTGGCCCAGACTCCATTTTGGAACTTCGCAGGCTGGGGGACGAAGTAAACACATTTATGGAAAAACCGCGGGGTTAGGAAGTTTGCGGAAAGAGGGCGCAGCTCGTCGGTGGTTGGAAATTCTGTCTATCCCTCGGGAAAACCAAACGGTTCCGCAACCAACGTACACACACTTAAGGGCGGGAAAGGTGTGAAGCCCGCTGCTGGGGAGCTGCCTCCCTTTTGATGAAAAGGAAATGTGAAGAGCAGAAACGCTCTTCGTGTTACCACCCCTGAGACTTGGGGAGTGTGAAAGAAGAGAACGCTCCCTCCAACTCTCCCAAATTGAGAAAAGCTGCGGGAGGAATGAAGCAGTTGGAGAGAGGGGACCGCAGGTATCCCGCAGCTGAGGCTCAGGACTGAGCTCTAGAATGAAAGCACCCCTATGGGACCCACCAGGGAAAACATTAAAAAAAAAAAAAAAATCTAAATGCTTAGGCATTCTGCTGCTTCCGTTCTGTGTGTCAAATCTACTTTGAAGCAGTTAAGTACTGTAGGATATTAAACACTCGGCTCTCCGTTTCAAGCTCACTTTTTAATCTTTGCGAACTTAAAATGGGAAAGACAGAAAAAAAGATCTGCGACCCCTGTTTATGCTTTACCAAAGGAACGAAAAATTCTCTCCACCTCGGCATAAATAAAATAGGAAGATTTTTATCTTAATAAAATATATCTGGGAGCTTCTGCCTGATTCCCCAATTACTGCTTAGCCTTTTGACTGTTTTTAGCCTCTGCTTATATTTGTCTACTTCCCCGCACGATGGAGATTTTTAAAAATTGTCCTTTGGGGAGTCTCATCCCAAACCATCTTTCGACGGAACACTTTTGAATTGTACAGCCTCTTGGTTGAAGATCTAGTTCCTCAAAGTGCGGGCTTGCCGTGGGGGTAACGCAAATCCACTCTGGCGACTCGTCTGGGACGAAGGGCGTTTTTGCTTAGTTTTATCACACAGATTTCATCTGAAAAGAAGCTGCTTAAAATGGCTGTGTATCATTTCCTTCCTGTCACTCGGTCACCCCCATTCCAGAGTGGTTGAGGTGCCTTCTGCAGGTTCACTCACACAAGACCAAACCTTTAGAAGAACTTGAAAAATGTATCACTGTACGTTGAATTCGATTAACTTTCCTGGCGACTGAACAGTGAACTCAATTTTTGCTGGGAATGAAGATGTGAATGTTTTGAAAAACTAGAATCGCATTTTTCTAAATTTTAAAAATGATTGTTCTTCACCCATTCCAGATGGATTCTTTATTGTTTGCCAATGGGTTGCAGATGCCCACTCCTTTAACCAAGTTAGCTTACTGCATATGAAATGAACATTTGCTGCTTAAAGCTTAAATATTGGAAGAAATTTCTCCTGGGGCATTCCACACGTCTTTGCAATAATTACTAAATTAGTCAATTGTCACCTCTATAAACAAATTTCGTTTAGAAAACAGCAGGCGAAAGCAGACTACACATGTAGTCATAATTGACCAAAAGTATGTACAAAGCTGTTTAAAACCGGGGAAAGAGTGATTTGTGTTGGAGAATACAGTCTAGAACTGATTGATTTCACTCTACGAAGAAGGTAGTTGTATTGAATATGTTAAGATGTGCAAATTAAGCCGGCGAGCGCACCAAATAAAACAACTAAATGTCCTTTGGGTTTCTCTGCAGGGTCTTTGAGAGGCAGAGAAGCAGTAGTTGAGTTTCTAACAGTATGAGGAAAAGTATGAGAAGGAAGGGGGTGGGCTTTGTGTTTTGTGTGAGTTTTGAACTGAGTCACCTACAACTGCGTCTCTGTAACAGGGAAATCTCAAGCAAACCTGTGCCTTTAAGACTCAGTTGCTATCCAAACACAAGTAAACAGAGTGGACCATTAGCAGACGCCGGGCGCGAAGGCGGAGCTAGGGCGCTTAGGGCCCCGCGCGGCGGCGGGACGCCGGCCCGAAGGGGAGGCGGGGCCGCTACTAAAGCCCACGACTCCCAGCCCGGGGCAGCCTGGGGAGGGACGCGGGCGGGGACGGAGCTCGGCGCGCTTGCTGCTGGAGGGTGATGGCCCTGCAAGGCTGCGGTCTCCAACCTCATTCGAAGTCGGCAGCGAGAGGCTCGCCGAGGCGCGGGGTTCTGGGCGAGCGCTGAGCGCCCGCTCCAAGCACCCCGGGCCTTTACATAGTCGGCGTTCACAGACGAAGACGTGGATCCGCTCTCGCTTTCGCTGCTCGCGGTCCTCCAGATCATGTCCGCGACTCCCGCCGCTCCGCGCGGGAAAAGAAGTTTGCCAGACGTGGACTCGGTGATCTTTCCAAGCTGTGCGCCTCGCTGCCTGGACCAGGTCTGAGCCGGGCTGCCCAAGCAGACCTTTCTCCCGGAGGTGAGTGTCCGCTCTGGGAAGGGGCTGTAGCCGCCCTTTGGAAGGAAGGGTTTGGGGGTGCAAGAGGCGTTCAGATTCTCGATCTGGTGTGCCCCAAGTTCAGATGTGAAAATAGATCATAGGGATGCAATCCCAGGGCACTGCATTTCTCTCTTCCTTGGTCCCTGGCACGCGACTCCCAGCTAACACCCAATCACACACACTTCTACGTACTGTTTCTTAGTTTTGTTTTGGAATATTTAAGCAGTCAGCAAGACTTCTTATATAAGCTGGTCGACGTACACTGAGATCAAGCCCCACAACCCCATGGTGTTTCTGGCTCTGCCCTAGCAAGCCCGGGTCGACCTGTCCCAGGGCAGCCGCGGCAGCGCAGCGTGGACAGGCCCGGACACACAGTGCCTGCCCAGCCAGAGACGCTGAAGGAGCGTTTCCAGAGTGAAATAGTTCAGTCCTCGGTAATTCGTCAACCTTTTGCTGGTTTTTAAATTTTCCTTCCACTTTCCAGTCCTGACAGACGGGGGCCAAAAGCAAACTCACCAGGGGCCTAAACGCTCGGATTCCCGGGAAACGGCAAGTGAGAAAGGAGTTGCAGTTGTCCGAAGAAGGAGCGAGGAAAAGGTGTTTGTCGAGGGAGCCCTGGATCTGTCTTCCTACCTGTTAGCAGAGAACAAAAGGGGGCTGGCATTTCCCGAAGCTAAAGGGCGCAGACAGCCACTTTCTCTGCTAAACAAACCAGTCCTGAGCACAGAACAAGAAAATTACACTGGGGGAGCAAGGGGAGCAGAGAGAAACAGAACCCAGATTATGCGGAAGGCATCTTAATTTAATTAACTCCTTGGGAAGGCAGAGGCGCTTTGAAGGGGCAGGAACTTCGCAGCCATTTCTCGATTCACCTGATACAGTCTGGCCTTAAACAATTTTTTTTCTTTTTAATATCTCCTTAGATCTACTTAGTCTATAGCTCTCTGATTTATGTAAAATTCGGTTGTGGTTTGAGCTGAAATTCAGCGAGCCTATCCAACCATCAATCATTTATTTCAGATACAGATGCACAGGTTTAGCAGATGAACCCTGACTGTATATTCTTTTTAGATAATTCAATGTAATAATACCATTACCAAAGAGCAAAACTCCTTATCAAGTTACTTCTTACCTTTTTTTCCCAATGTTTTGAAAGCTTCACTGAACTGTGTACACATCTCCCTTGTTGACAGCCAGTCAACTAAATTTTACAAAGTTTCTCCACATGCCTGGAAATTCCTGTAAAGAAGACTGATGAAAGAAAAGTAGCCTCAGCTCCACCAAAATATTCATGCCTCTTCATTGGTTTAAGTTATTTCCTTCCAAAATTAAAAGTAACCAGTGGTCTGAAACGGGATGGTGGAGAAATGACAGCAATGATCGCTGTTATTTCCTGAAAGGGAGTGTGGGAACTACAGGGCTCAGCTCTAGACAAAACGAAAGTACTTTAGGATCTCTGCATTCACTTAAAATACTTCTTTTGACATACATTTCCAGCAACTCAATGGGAGTGTGGAAATTTAAACTTCCGAATTATTTGTGGCAAGAGCCACTGGTGGATATTTAAGTTGGTTCTGTTTAAAAAAGGATTTTAAAGGGACCAATGGTCTGCCCTTCCTCTGTGAAGAAACTATCTGCCCTGCAAATTAAAACGTCCTATGAAATAGCACTTTTTTTTTTTTTTTTGCCGAGATGAACCTGAATTATACTAGTCGTTAATTTCTGTGTTATAAACCATTCAGAAAAAAAGGAAAAGAAGATGGCACTGAACTTTGTGGCAGTGTAACCTTTATGGCAGTGTTCACTGTGCATTTGGAATAGAAGTCACAGGTCACAACAGTACTTTAGCTGACACCACTCCCCCCAACATCTCCCCACCCCCCCAACACATCATCCTGTGGTGGGAGTAGTGCTTTGCCTCCTGTATTTATTTCTAAGAAATCTAGTCTGGGAATACACCCAAATAATAATTTCGGTTTCCTCTCTATGAGAGAGAGGCTACTTTTCAACACTAAGGGAAAAATAATATTTTGAATCTCTGGAAAATCCTCATTACGCAAAGAGAAGGAAATAAAGGTGTAATTTATTATTTTTAATTAAAAAGGAAATAATCAGATAGATTATCAAGAATGTTAGTAGAATCCTTTTTTCCTGCCTTTCTGAGAGAGGACTCGAGAGTTGCCGCGGAGCAAAAATGAATCGTGATTTGTGGTGGGAAAGCTGATTACTAATGGGGGTTTGCAGTTGTGGTTGAATGGTCTGAGACCCTCTGACTGTTACACACCTCTCATTAACTCCTAGCTTAAACTCCCAGACCGCATACCACCCAGCCGAAGCGATTCGTTAATAAATCTCTGTCTCCAAGCCCTTCCAAACAGAGGAAGGTGTGGGCCCCGCGGAGGCAGCCAGATCGTGCCTTGCCAGAGCACTCTGTCATTAGTGTAGCCCCCTAAGTCGGCTCACAGATGGAACCGCGGGCATTATTTCACAAGGCGCTGCAGAGGACAAATCAAGCGCCAGAAGGGTTTAGGTGGGAAGGGAAGGCTGGAATCTTCTGCCTTCCCGCTGGGTTCAAACGCCAGGCCTGGCAGTTGTTAGCCCAGAGTGGCTGGGTTGCCCCTCTCCAGGACAAGTGCTTAGCTCTGACTCCTACACCTGGGGGGCCGCCCTCAGAGGGAAGGCCCTGGTCCCACGAGCTGGCAGAATCCCTTTCTAAAAAGGGGCTGGCAGTGGGAGAAGGTGGGCCCACCGTGAAGGCAGGAGAGGTGCTCCCGGAGAACGTGGGTCTGAAATCGGACCTGTGTTGCCTTTGGGAGCACGGGGATAGGGGAGCGCCATGCTTAGGCCCAGGCCGCAGACCTCAGACAGGGCATCCTGGTGGTGGGAGCGCATCCACACTCACCTCCAGGTCGACAGATTAGGTTTCTGCAGGCCGGCAGGACCACCCTGTGCCTGGCCTACTGAGGGCTCCCCTGCAGCGTCTTTCTTCACCCTCCGCAGAGCGTCCTCTCTCCTCTCTCGGTCCTCTCGTCTGTCTCTCCTCGGTACCAGACTGAGAAGCAGTTCAAGAGCAGCCTGGGAAAAGGGATTTCGGCCTCAGGGACGTTCTCCGCTGCCACCCCACGCCTTGAGAGCCTAAATCATCTGGAAGGGATCTTGGTGGGGGGTTGGGAGGAGAGCCCCTGGATAGGAGGAGGGGGCGATTCTAGGCCGAATCCAGGCCATGAGGTGTCACTTTTCTTTCCTGTGGCCTGTCACCGCTGATAAATGGGACTGAGGGCAAAGGAAGGGAAAAGAAAACCTCTGAGGTCAGTGTGGGGCGAGACGGGCCCTGGAGGATGGAGCGCGCTGGCTGCGCTCTCCCACGCCAGGTGCCGTCCGGGGTAAACGCGGGAAAGGCGGTTGCAGGGCGCTGCGGCAGCAGCGCAGCGCAGGGGATACAGGATCCACCAGTCAACCTATCGTTCCCCGGAGCTCAGAGCGGCAGCAGCGACAGAGGTTCGCCCTGGCCTGCCAGTATTGGCGTTGCAGTTGTCTGAGCTTCGCCTGACCGGCTTCGGGAGGGTAGGGTGGGCTGGGCTGGGTGCTGCCTCAGTGTCCGCCTTTCGTTTTCCTGGTACTGAGGAGTCTTCCGCTCTGTGCCTCCCCAGAGTCCGAATCTGACCTTCTTTCCTCTGGGCGCCCAGAAGGGTTGCTCACCCGCAGAGCACTTCTTGCCCCGGCCCAGGGCTGATCTGCACGTGGATTTGAGCAGGTGCTACACGGTCCCCTCACTGCTTCTTTCGGGGGTCTTGGAGTCTGGTAGGGAGTGAGACTTAGGTGTGGTAACCTACGCGGGTGCCAAAGGGCAGAAGGAGCAGCTTTGAATTATACTCACGATCTTTTCCTCTCTTCCCTGTCGTTTTTAGAGATTTGTCTACGTGCTGTTGTCTCACTGGGTTTTTGCCGGAGCCCCAAGCCCTCCCGCCTCTGAGTCCTGGAAGAAAGGAGTAGTCCCTTCAGCTCCCCAGCATCCCGGAAAATGGGGAGCAAGGCCCTGCCAGCGCCCATCCCACTCCACCCGTCGCTGCAGCTCACCAATTACTCCTTCCTGCAGGCCGTGAACACCTTCCCGGCTGCGGTGGACCACCTGCAGGGCCTGTACGGTCTCAGCGCGGTGCAGACCATGCACATGAACCACTGGACGCTGGGGTATCCCAATGTGCACGAGATCACCCGCTCCACCATCACGGAGATGGCGGCGGCGCAGGGGCTTGTGGATGCGCGCTTCCCCTTCCCGGCCCTGCCTTTTACCACCCACCTATTTCACCCGAAACAGGGGGCCATTGCCCACGTCCTCCCAGCCCTGCACAAGGACCGGCCCCGTTTTGACTTTGCCAACTTGGCAGTGGCTGCCACGCAAGAGGATCCTCCTAAGATGGGAGACCTGACCAAGCTGAGTCCGGGGCTGGGTAGCCCCATCTCAGGCCTCAGTAAATTGACTCCGGACAGAAAGCCCTCTCGAGGGAGGTTGCCCTCCAAAACGAAAAAAGAGTTTATCTGCAAGTTTTGCGGCAGACACTTTACCAAATCCTACAATTTGCTCATCCATGAGAGGACCCACACGGACGAGAGGCCGTACACGTGTGACATCTGCCACAAGGCATTCCGGAGGCAAGATCACCTGCGGGATCACAGGTGAGGCGGGCAAGGAAGATGGCAGGGAGAGAGAAAGCGAATTTGTCCTGGACACACTGAGTCCTGATAGACATTCCAAGTATCGTCATAATCCCCTGTGATCTAGAATACGCCCTCAAACACGCTCCCCAGCCCGGTTCAGCTAACTCCCAATATCTACCCTTTTCCCCAGCACCCTGCGCCGGCTGTGTTCTTGTTTGGGATGAGGGAGGGCCTTTCCTCAGTCTTGGGGAGGAACATTCCGGTGGGGCCTTAGTCTTGGGAGGGTTATCCTCTCTCCTCCTGGTGCTGTGGGGAGTGGTGCAGGAAGAACCGAGGGACCCTGGGGTACCGGTTCAGGCTGCCTTCCGGCCAACTTTGTGGGGTTTACTCCCTCCCCTCACCACTCCCCTGCCTCAAGCCCCCCCACCAGGTGCGCCCCTGAGCCTGCAAGGGGAACCCTTCTTTTAAGCTGTATTTGTGGGTTGTGGGGGGGTCTTGAGGTCACCGAATTTATAAACAGCTCCCACATCCCTTCCACGACCTTAAACTCTGCATTAATACAAGGCAATTGAAGACACAATAATGTTAGTGTTGTCATTGGGTAAAACTTCTCAGGAATGGGGGAGATCTTTTTAGGGGATCTCTTCTGGACTCTACCTGCTGTTCTTCGGAGATGAAACTTCCGTACCCACCCTCCAAGGCTGTTAAGGGATTCACTAAAATTAGCACCTCTAAACTCAGCCTTACGATTTGGCCAGTTTAAATCCCAGAGAAAACCATGGAGGCCAAGAAAGTCTCATTCGGAGGGATTTCGAACTCCAGAATATGCCAGAGAGGGCGATCAAGTGTAGATAAAGCCCTGCGGGCTGGTGAATATTTTGAAGAGAATCTGTTAGTTGAGGTTAACCATAAACTGAATTACATAGGGAAAAAAAATCTTAAAACATAAATGAAAATCTTGTTTCTTTTGTTCTTCCATGACTTTTGGGTAATTGTTAAAAGTAACTTCACCATCGGGGTAAAGTTATTTCAATGAAACCTTATATTAATTTGCAGGTATATCCATTCCAAAGAAAAACCCTTCAAATGTCAGGAGTGTGGGAAAGGATTTTGTCAGTCCAGAACTCTAGCAGTTCACAAAACTTTACACATGCAGGTAAGTTTGCCTTCTTGTTTTAAAAGAGTGGCTGGTTCATTTTATCATTATTGCTTTACAAAAGGTGTTCAATGACAGAATCTGTTTCTCAAAAGGCTCTATTTAGATTGGTTCTCTAGGTGGGGTAAAGCAGCCCTCTTAATTTTTTTAATAGGTAAAATTAATCTTAACATAAAGCATTTTTAAAATTTTTTTAAAGAACAGGCCACTTTGATTATCATAAATCCTAATTTTAGAAATTTTTTTTCATCCAATCTGCCCTGTATTTAAAGCTTTTGTGTTTAGGAGGAAATAAAAGTAATTTTGATAATGGAGGCATGGTGAAATCCCATACTCTCTCTTTCCCAGGAGCCTCATAATTTGTAGCTTTCAGGACATCGAGGAATAGTTTAGTTTTCCAGCAAAGAGGAGCCTTATTACCCAGGAGAATGTAATTCCTTAAGAGAGGATTAGAGTTTTTCCTTCCCACTTTTCCTGCCTCTGACATGGTGATGAAATGTGAAGAGCTGGAAATCACAAAGCCCACCGAGGTGGCCGCGGGTCTGCCTCCGAAGTTATCAATGTAATCGGCCTCTGTTTATGCCTGCACGTGTGTTTTCATGATTGGAGGATTAGGAGCACAGATTTGTTCCTGCAAGTCCCCTCTTTTGTTGTCTTGCGAGTGTTATGTTAACGCTTGTGATACCGATAAGACAGAAGCTATTGAAAAGGGTGCAGTGGTAGTGTGAAGGATTAATCCTTTGCTTGCTTCACATCTGAACAGGAATCTCCACACAAATGTCCCACATGTGGAAGAACCTTTAATCAGAGAAGTAATCTGAAAACTCACCTTCTCACCCATACAGACATCAAGCCCTACAGCTGCGAGCAGTGCGGCAAAGTGTTCAGGCGAAACTGTGATCTGCGGCGGCACAGCCTGACTCACACCCCGCGGCAGGACTTCTAGAGAAGCCCAGGATCTGTCCCGTGCCGCCGCTGCTCCCCTCCCCAGACACCTCTCCACGTCTCCTACCAGGGGGGTCGCACCCCTAGCCCTTCACTGACCCCAGCTCTTCCCTTGCTGCAGCCGCACCTGCAGCTCCAGGGAGATAACTCTTCTTCTGGGGGACTGAGAACTGTAGAAAGCCACACACTACATCCTTTCACAAAGAGTATATGCTAGTTTCTTGTAGATATTCACAGCTCATTTTAGAGCTCTGTACATAATGTTGTGGGCCTTTGTTTTGTTGTTTTGTTTGTTTTTGTATCTTGTCGGATGCACCTAGATATGGAAAATGGAAGCCAAATTTTATCTTTAAAGACTGTATTTCCAAAATAAAAGTTTTTCTTGTTTGTTTCAACACTCCTGCAAAGGTGTCTTGCTATTTCAATTCTGTTTTTCCTCTAGATTCTGGAAGAGTGGGCTGCCTCTGTAGAATTCAATACTAAAAGCCATTCTTTATCCCTAGGTTTAAAAAATAGGATTTCTTGGAATTCTTATTCTGCAACTTCAGCCCTTCCCTTTTTGTATGGTGGCATTTTAGAATTAGAGAATTGGGCTGTTTCTTTGTTTTTCAAAGATATTAAAACATTGATGCCCCTGAGATTTAATCCCCTTTTGTTTATTTTGATTCCTTGTGTATCATTCCTTCAGATAAATGCAATATCTTAATATAACATGCAACTTTCATGGTTGTCCCACTTGAAAGCACAGCATGGGAAGAAGAAGGAAGCATAGAAGAGGTGAGAGCTTCTTGCCACTTCATTTTTGAAAAGCCCTTGGCCTATTGTTACAGTTTATGATGGGCAAATTCTCTTACCATTAGACTTTGAACACTATTGATTTATCACTACAGACAGAGACTTTACCCTACCTTTAGGAGAGAAGTCTAAAATCCTACAGAAGTGTACAGGAAGATACAACCTTCAAGAAGATGGGAGATAAGTGGAGAAAAGAGAAACCACTTAGCTATGTTCACAAAATATTTCTTTCCAAGGGTGGGGATCCTTTCTTCTAGAAGGTTAGGATTTCTCTGCAAAGCAAACTGAGGTTACCAGCAAAGTTTCCATCACTGGATGGTCTTTGTCCCTGGGAAAATGCCAGAAGTGCTGGTTACTCCATGTATAGAGCTCATGGCAAATATGTAATCGCCTTCTGAGGCATTTCAACCTTTCCTAAATGGTTCCCGGGAAACATGACTCTAGTACAGTGACAAGCCTGAAGTATGATGTAGGATTTAGTTGGAGGGCTTTGGAAGGAGATAAAGAGTAGTACTATACAGAGACTGGAAGGAAAGTGATTTAGCTTAAAGGGGGAATGGCAGAGGAACCTGTGGCCCAGTAGGCTCTCACAAACTGTTTCTTATGGAACAACAGGGTAAACAAGGCATTATCAAAATTCTTTTAAATTTGTATATTTGTGTAGAGATGGCATGTTTCACTTTCAGGGTGATTCCAAGCAACACATCCTATGTTTGTACTTTAGAATCTCCCAGAAAAATAGAGACTTGAGGACTAGACTCAAAATTGCTCAACAGTACTTTGTTTAACACAACTTACTAAGAGGTTTCAAACAGTGTTCCTGACTAATTGCTTGCTCTGTTTTCAGGGTAGCTGGCTAGAAGCCATATTTATCTCTCACCAGAAATTAATTCTCTGCAACAAAATGTCCACTCACCAGCCTGTGTGCCTAATGCTCACACAAACGCATTCCCCAGCACGGGATGAGCTCAAAGTCTTCCTGAGGAGTAGGGGCAGGGATGGTGTATGGAGTGCATGTGCTTGTGTTATTTAGAGGAATGAAACAGCTGTTTGCTTTCTTTTGTTTGTACAGAGTTAACTCGGTGACCTCCCTGCCCCTCCTCTCTCAAGATCCTGCCCGCCTTGGTACAGAAGATTTGAATACTTTAGGGCAGAGTTAACATTGAGTGTCCCTAGAGCCCCCGTAATCTTGCAGGCTTTTTCTACATAATCAATCTCACAGCCCCACCCACCCCTACTGACTACAAGTGTCACAGTTCCATCACACAGGGTTCAGTCCAATTATCAAAGAATGACCCTTGCTCGCTATCAAGCTGCAGGCATATCCTTGAAGTTCCTATTACAGGAATACATAGATAGGTATAACCAGAAAACTGTTTCTCTCCATTTGTTTTATTTGAAGAAATGGGAATCAGAAGGGAAAGAAGAAGAAGAGAGGAGGAAGTGGAGAAAGCAGTTCCCCATTTGATACACATACTATTTTAAACATTTAGGTTAATTTATTTATAATTAATTTATTTACTCATTAATTTAATAAATGTTTACTTTATGCTTTTCACGTGTCAAGCCCTGTGCTAGGTTCCACTGATTTTCATGATCAGTTTCTGCCTTTCTATATCTAGTGACACATTTTTGGAATCTTGGCTACTTAGATAATTTAAAAACCCATGATAGGGCTAATTTAGCAGCTCCCCTCAATCTAGACTCTTAAATCCAGCATTCATCTAGTCTCATAAAGGATCTAGCTTCTGTCAGGGTAGACTCTTTCTACACACTCTTCATAATCTTAGGTGAACTTTTATTTTTTTATTTTTATTTTTAAGATGGAGTCTCATTGTTCAGGCTGGAGTGCAGTGGCGCAATCTTGGTTCACTGAAACCTCCACCCCCTTGGTTCTAAATAATTCTCCTGCTTCTCAGCCTCCCAAGTAGCTGGGACTAAAGGTGCCTGCCACCATGCCCGGCTAATTTTTGTATTTTTTATAGAGATGGAGTTCCACCATATTGGCCAAGCTGGTCTCAAATGCCTGACCTCAAGTGATCCACCTGCCTTGGCCTCCCAAAGTGCTGGGATTACAAGGGTGAGTCACAGCACCTGGCAAGGTGAACCTTTAAGTGGTGAGTTCCTCTCAAAATTCTGGGTTTTATTTTCTTCATCTTTATACTGTCCAAGCGTACAGAAAATGAACAAATTTATGAGACATCAGAGGGAAAATATCCTGTATCTTAGGAAATTGATATGCTGGTTTTTTTGGTTCAGAGAAGAGTCATTATTTGAGTTTTAGATTAGCCCGTGTTTTTCTTACACTCTCTAACATAGTCAGCTCATGAATCAATGCTCCTAGCAAGAGACCAGGAGTTGGAAATATCATGCGTCATAACCACAGCACTGAAGAGCTTCATGAACAAGTTAGGTATTTACTCTTGAGCTGTGACTGTAATCTCATTGTGTAGTCTACGCAGTAAGGCTTTAAAAATAATTTCTACAAATGAATTACATTGTAATCAATTGTTATTATAAAATTATGAATGTGTGTTAGGTGCTCTTACTGATGCTAACCTTGAAATGTAGGTCATTGTAGTACTAGTGCTTTATAATTGTAGCAATTAAAATTGCTATTTTGCACAGCCACACCCTTTTTTACATGAGGAAGCATTTTTAAAATTTGACTGTAGAACAACTAAATACTTAAAAAGTCAACAAATCAAAAATCTCAAATTATAAATAGGCCCAACTACCACTAGTGATAAAACCACAGGTGGTTACTGGGAGTTTCATCTGTTCATCTGTTGATGTTAGCACAGGCATCTGGACCTCTTCACTTAAATAATGTTCAATCAGATACTTTTACCCCAACTTTGATTCTGGAGGGGCAGCCTCTCCTTGAAAGGCACTTGGGAAACATTAGTTCTTGAAGATTGTCAACATGACAAAATAGATGCATTTGCACTAAACACTGTGTAGAATCAACAGCAAATTTTGATTCAAGAAACGTATTAACATAATGGGTTGCCTTTCTTATTATCAAAGTAATTTTAATATTATTATAATAAAGAAAGATTTAAACAATTGAGGAACCCATATTATGCACTGCAAACAGGAATGACTTTTGTATTTTAGGGGTTTGTGTTTGCCTTTATTAGTATGTTATATTGAGACTGTTTCTCAATTTTTCCTTCTATAGTGTAACTTGTCACTGATAACCACCTCTGCTGACAGCAATGAGCAATAAAGGGCGTGGAGATTCAGAATGATTCAGCTTCGATGACCTGAGATATTTCAAGTTCATTCCTGTTTCTTTTTTTCATTGCTTGTTGTTTTTCCCCCCAACACAAGCTACCTTATTATTTATGCTATGTAACTTTTTTCTCTTGAAACTATCCCAGGCACAAACTGATAGTGAAAAACTGTAAATGACCTTATAGCCCATAAGAGGAAAATCTTTAAGTAAATTATCATGCTGTATCTGTTAGAATGTTCTCTACTGCATAGAACAGAAAATCCACCTAAAAGGGGTTTAAGTAATAGGGAATTTATTTTCTTACATGACAAGAAGTCTCAAAGTAGGGTTCAGGGATGCATAATTAATTGGAGTGTCACGATCAACTAAGGTCCAATTCTTCCTACTTCTCTGTTCTTCCATCTTTAGTGCGTATGCTGGGCTTCCTTTATGGCCACAAAATGGCTGACGGCGCCAAGCACTAGCTCCGCTGCCTCCTCCTTACACACATTCCGTAGGCAGAGAAAGGGATTATGTCTTCCTTCTAACACTTTTAAGCAACTAAGAATCTCTTTCACAAATCTAACATATAGATTTGCCCTTATATCTTATTGGTCAGAAGTATATCACTTGCCCCTTCCTCAGCCAATCACTGATAAGGGTAATAGAATTGTACCATGATTGGCTTAAACTAAATAAAAAGTCACCTTTTTTGAGTGGAAATGGAGTCAACCTTCGAGCCTGAAGCCCTTGACCACCTGAACAAACCTGAGTTCTCTTAGCAGGAAAGAAAGGAGAACTGGCTATTGTTAATATTAGGCAGATGTTTAAAATGAAGTTTCCATTAAATACCTTGTGTTAGGATATGTTGATGTTAGACAAGGGATGCTTAAAGGCATAAACAGTGTTATCTCAACTATATAAAACAAACAACACCTTTCAAAACTCAGCAGAAATAAAGACTAGCAGAAAATATACCAAAATGTTAACAGCAGCTTCTTGAGTGACAAACTAAGGGTACATTTTTCTTCTCCTTTTTAAATTTTTCAACTCCTCCACAATGAGCACATTTTACTTTTATAAAGGAAAAGGGTAATAATATTTTTAATGCCTAAAATAAAGCCTTAATTTGCAATTTTTCATCTTAATTTACTATCTGTGACCAATCTTTGCTTGTCTCCTTTCATACACACTCATATAATCCCCATGCCACTTCTAAACCATTCTTCTAATTTAGTTACATCTTTACTTTCTAGTTTACCTTTCTTTCTTGATTTTCATTCAGAGCTCCTTTTCCTATCTTTTCTCTTCTCTAGGTTTCTTTATCCTGGTTCCAGATTTTCACCCTCTTAAGAGCTTTGATAATTCTCAAGGCGTGAACG